CTTCCTTCCTTCCTTCCTTCCTTCCTTCCTTCCTTCCTTCCTTCCTTCCTTCCTTCCTTCCTTTCTTTCTTTCTTTCTTTCTTTCTTTCTTTCTTTCTTTCTTTCTTTCTTTGGAAGAGACCTTTAAAATACAAAAGCTTCCAACCAGTTTGTTGTTATTTGGGCTATTAAAATACTGCTGCTGTGATTTGGGATTACTGCTCTCGTAGGCTTGATGGGTGCTGTGAGCTTTCTTAATATTATTTTTTTCTGAAGTGAAACAATCAGGAGGCCAAATATAGAACTGAGCGGATAGTTTTAATGTCTTTCACCTGTGTGCACTTTCGATATGATTGGTTTGCTTTCCTGTTCCACGAGCCAAAAGGAGAAAGGCGGGGGAAATACCAAGGTGTCTGTAGGATTGTTTTATAGATGCTTTATAATTCACTTGAGTTCTGCCTTCCTACCGAAGCAACCCACCAAACCATCTTCGCCCCTTCCGAAATCGACATCTTTTTAATGCATTATATTTAGACTTAATGGCATTCCTCTAACACTGCAAACTAGCATAAATGGGGGAAAAATAGCAGAGGAGACAAAAATAAGCAAAATATCAAAGAGGTAACTGACAGAGAATTGTAATCAGACGTTATCACGGGCCATTCTTAATGAATGAGCACAATAGCCATCCATGATGGCTTCTTTTCCAACAAGGGATGTCCTTGAATGCATGTTGTTATCATTTCAGAAAGAGCTAGCAAAAGTTGTTTGTAGGGGAGGAAACCTTTGAAAGCGTCTCCCAGCATCCAACAATGATCAAAGAACTCAACTTTTTTCCCCGATGCTGAAAAAAAAAACCACCTCATTTCTTCCTTACAACTAAACCTCCTTACAACTAAAAAGCCTTAGGTAGACAACAGGTAGACCTCGACTTACGACCACGATCGAGCCTCAAATTTCCGATGCCAGGTGAGACAGCTGTTTAGTGAGTTTTGCCCCATTTGAGCCACAGTGGTGCCAGTGGTTAGAGTGCAGTACTGCAGTACTTTTGCTGACTGCCAGCTGACTGCAATTTGGCAGTTCGAATCTCACCAAACTCAAGGTTGACTCAGCCTTCCCTCCTTCCAAGGTCGGTAAAATGAAGACCCAAATTGTTGGGGGCAAGAAGCTGACTCTGTAAACCGCTTAGAGAGCACTGTAAAAGCGCCGTGAAGTGTTATATAAGTCTAAGTTCCTTCCTTCCATCCATCCATCCTTCCTTCCTTCCTTCCTTCCTTCCTTCCTTCCTTCCTTCCGGTTATAATGCAGCATTGCAGCTAATTCTGCTAACTGCCAGGTGTTCAATCCTGACCAGCTCAAGGTTGACTCATCCTTCCGAGGTTGGTAAAATGAGGACCTGGATTGTTGGGAGCAATATGCTGACTCTGCAAACCGCTTAGAGAGGGCTGGAAAGCACTGTGATGGGGTATATAAGTCTAAGTTCCTTCCTTCCTTCCTTCCTTCCTTCCTTCCTTCCTTCCTTCCTTCTTTCCTTGGTGCACAGTGGTAAGAATGCAGTATTGCAAGCTAACTCTGCCCACTGCCAGTAGTTCGATCCTGATCGGCTCAAGGTGGACTCAGCCTTCTGTCCTTCCGAGGTCGGTAAAATGAGGACCCAGATTATTGGGTGCAAGAGGCTGACTCTGTAATACCGCTTAGAGCGGGCTGTGAAGAGGTATATAAGTCTAAGTGCTATTGCTA